GTACACGAGCGTGTCTGCTGAACTGTGATTGTGGAGGGATATAAGCGCAAGACGGGTTTTGGCGATTTGTAAGCGATCCTCTAAGACATTAGCCGTGTTTCTTGCAAGACTTAGGTAAATTTTATAAGATATCAAGTAAAGGGAGTAGCTACGAGCATAATGGATGACTGAATGATGTTGAAAATTATCGGTAGATTGGACTCAGGCTATTCACAAGCACAGATGTTTGCAGAGCTCAACGTAACGCCAAGTGTCGTCTGCAATTTCTGGAAACAGTTTCCGAGCACTGGATCCATATAGAGAAGACCTGGACAAGATCGACCAAGATCTAAAACGACTAATAAGAATCGTCATTTGCACTTTCAACGAGGCTACTCAGGACTGATACAGGTTCACATCTCTCACGTGAACTACATTCTGTCTCTAGAACCTGAGTATTACAGTTCACAGTTGACCGAAGGCTTAATGAGCTAAGGCTGTATGTCACAAGACCTGTTGTTTCATACCGCTCTCTGCAGCACGTAAGAAAGCGCGTTTAGCATGGTGCAGACCATGCATCTTGAAACAGACATCAATGGAGCACCACGCTTTTTATAGATAAGTCGAGATTCAGCCTGGATACTTATTCTAGGCGTACCTGTACCTAGAGAGAGGCTGGAGCACGATACCCTCCCTCATCAGGGGAAAGGATATTACGGTGGTGGAGGTATAATAATTTCGGCAAGCATTTATTGAAAAACCACCCACCCCTGCATGTGTTTGACAAAGACTTCGTGACTGTTATGAGGTATAGAGAGTAGAGATCTTAAGAGTCTTGTGTTCGACTTTTCAGGGGCTCAGTTGGTCCTGAATTCCTGTCAATGAGCGATAGCTTTTGTCCGCATAGGGCTCAGCTGGTCGAAGATTACCTGAAAAGTAAGGGTATTCGCAGCATGGATTGGCCATCGAAATCTGACCTTAACCCTAAAGAGCATGATCGGGATGCTCTTGGGAGGAAAATTTCATCTTACTATCCCCCTCCGAGAACCATCTCGGAGATGAAAATTGCCTTGCTGCAAGAGTGAGATCGGTATGGTGTTTGGTGTATTTAATTATGGCAAAGTACACGAGGGCTATCTGTCTAAGGGAAGGGGTGCCTTCGTGGAGGACTTTCTAAGGGAAACTGACTCTCGTATACACGTTACACATGGGGAAAACCACGAAAACGCCCATGCAGCCAGCCCGTTCGTGGGATTCGGACCTCTAACCGAACTACCAGTGTTCAGCGACTTTACTGCTCGGCCGCTGGTGGGCCAAGAGTGAGATCGACTGATACAGGGACTCCTCAATCGCCTTCTGTTCAGTATACTGTGATGCTGCGCGATCTGCCTGGCTGTGAGTGCGAACCACACCCATACTAATCTCATCTTCAATTCGATATTACAAAGTGGATTTTCGATATCCGTGCACTACGAGCTTTATTGATGCTTATGCACACAAAAAATGACTTTTGAATGGCCTGTGTTATGAATGTATATTCTACCAAATTTCATTAAAACCTTTCCATTAATTTTCAGAAATTCAACATAATGTGCAAACTCTTTTAATTTTGCACACGAGTGTATAAACTTGACATACTGCACAAATTGCATCTTATTCTTCTATAAAACAGACAGTTAAATAGTCTAATTGCCACACTTTGAGGGAAGCTAAATAAATAATTTTCTGGTTCATATCCACATGAGAAAAACCACGAAAATGCTCACGTAGCCGGTTACAGCCGAAAACATCGCGGACGAAAACGTCGCGGAGAAAACAACACAAGGCGAAAACGTCGTGCTACAAAACATCGTGGGAGAAAACATCGCAAAAAGAAAACATCGCAGTTCTAAAACATCGTGGTACAAAACATCGTCGTCGAAAATAAAGCGGTTCAATAACTTCGCAGTTTAAAAACATCGTCGTCCAAAATATCGGGGGTAGAAAATAAAGTATCTACAAATCATCGCATGACGATAACATCGCAGACATGATTTTTTCAGGTTTTTAGTAATTGTAAATGCATATTCCCATAATGATTTGTGAGCGCAAGATGGAAAGAAGGATAATTTTTACTTTCATATTTTTTATTAACTAATAAATTTTGCTGAGAAAATAAGAGGAAACTTAAGCATAGAAAATTAATGCAACTTATAGCACTTAATAGAAATTTAAACTGACATAGTTAACTAACACAGGCCATTAATAAATCATTTTTCATAAAGTTTTTACTGGTAATTTTTCATGAAAAGTGTAATCTATAAGTTGCATTCAATTTTCTATGCTTAAGTTTCCTTCTTACCTTTTCAGCAAAAATTATTAGTTAATAAAAAAAAATGTGAAAGTAAAAAATTATGCTTCTTTACATCTTGCGCTGACAAATCATTATGGGATAAACCATTTACAATTATTAAAACCTGAAAAAGCATGTCTGCGATGTTATCGTCATGCGATGATTTGTAGATACTTTATTTTCTACCACGATATTTTCGACGGCGATGCTTTTAAACTGCGAAGTTTTTGAAGCGCTTTATTTTCGACGACGATATTTTGTACCACGATGTTTTAGAACTGCGATGTTTTCTCTTTGCGATGTTTTCTCCCACGATGTTTTGTAGCACGACGTTTTCGTCTTACCTTGTTTTCTCCGCGACGTTTTCGTCCGCGATGTTTTTGCCGCGATGTTATCGGCGGACACCCACGTAGCCAGCCCGTTCACCTAGAAGCGAACTCAGGTCAGACTATCAGTGTTGAACTACTTTACCGCTCTGCTGCTATGGGGCCCTCATGAACTACGAAGATAACAGTCTCATTGATAAAGATACTGTTTTTACTTGTAAGGTATATTTTAATTTTATAACAGTTATTTTAATTTCAAAGTCTCTTTCTTATTAATTCTTGTTTTCAATTCCAACTCCCTACCAAAATGTGTTTTTAGAATCGCGTTGAATACAAGTTAGAAGAAGTATTTAATGAAGGTTCAACTTACTTCGTGAGAAAGAGCTGGGACTCTGAGTATCGCGTGTTTGCCTTCGGGCTAAGTCTCTCTTGAAGCTGTTACTCTCGGCCGTATTATTACGTGCTTTTTGATATTCGCCGGTTAGTTTAAATTAAGGGCCAACTACATTAGATACTTGTTTTAGTTTCAGCTAAGTCTCCTTTAGTTAGTTATAGTTTAGTTTCTTATTTCTTATTCTGAGTTCAAGCCCGAGTGGAGGCTTTGTTGTAAGCCCAAGAAAGGACCAACTCTTATTCTTATTTGAGTGAAATAAAAGGTAGTTCAAGCCTTCTTGAGTCTACATCTTTAATTATTTGAACTCAGCGTTAAGTCGCTAAACAGTTCACTAGGTTCCTCGACGTTTATCTTAGACAAAAAGCGTAAGGAACCCTATACACTTTCAAATCAAATCAAATAATTTTTCTCAAATTTTTCCATGAGATTTGTAGTGATTAATTTAATAATAAATCTAAGCCATAATCAATGAAAACCCGTAATCTACTTGGTAATTTTGGGCTGAAACGTACTTATTTATATCTGTAATGGTAAAATTCGATAAATTAAATTTAAAAGAAAACATCATTGTACATACAGTGTCCGTTTAATAATACTATTCAAAAAGCTGATGCACTTAAAAATTCTCGAAGCAATTTTCAGTTTGCTATTATTTTTTATATTAAAAAGAATAGTCACTAATAATTTAAAGGGCCCCAATGTTTAGTGACGAAGCATATATAACACCATCGAAAAGCTTCAAGATTAATACCAAATTGCCAAATTTGATGATATCAAAATATTTTAAATACAGCTGCCAAAATACTGCCTTTCTACAGCCACACAGTTCTGCTGACGCTCATACGGCTCTATAAGACATCTCTAGAATTTACGTAAAGTGTTTCATGGCATCCTCAGCAGCAACTTTCCTAGCATTTTTTTCAGGGAAACTTAAAGAATCCTATTACATTTAACAACAACATTTTTATACACTGAGTTTGGTAAGTTTGAATAAAGTGATGAATCTGTAAGATCTGAAATATAATTGAGAAGAATGACTCACCAGATAAAATTGAGAATAAATAAGCAACATTTTTTGTTGTTAGTTGCATTTTTGAAGTGGAGCGATTTTACAGTGCCATCTTTTCAACTGCCTGATAGAGATAGAAACGAAATAATTATCTGTCTTCAGTTTTATTTTAGCAGAAGTTCTTTGGCGATTGTACTCAAAGCAGCCCTTTTTAGATGCGTAGTAAAGACAAACAATAGCTAGCGTCAGTTTTATCTTAGAGTAAGCTGTTTCGTTTATCTAGAGTAGATGAGCAATATTATTTACCTGAAATTTATTTTATTAGAATCGCCTTCTGCTCCGAGTCAACTCCGAGCCATTTGAAATTTTTCCTAGAAAATCTTTCTTGTATTTTAAAATAAGATGCTGGAACTGATACTCATGCATAGCAATTTGTTCAGAATTCTTTAATTTTACCCCTACAAATTTCTGCGTAGCTAAATCAGTGATAAGGAAGGCAGAGAGCGACAGGAAAAAATTTTTCTCGCCAATGTTCGAAGTACAAAAGATTTCCATTTAAGGTCATTCTGTTAATTGTAGACCTCTGTCTAGCTATGTAAGTAGAACTCTCAGAAAAGTTCTTGTTAGCTTCGTATTGCTCGCGAATATTGTTGAATCATAGATCCTTCACTCTTTTAACAATGCTTTTGTTTCAAAAAGAGTAAAAATCACCCCGTAGGAGGTTTTAACACAATCAGCAAATGTGTGGAAGCATTGCTATCTTATTTTAGCCAGATAACCTGCAAACAAGAACTGAATAATGCGCAAGTTATCATTTCACTTTTACAAGGCACTAATTATTATCACATCTTTATTTCTTGTTAATTCCTGTTATTTCTTTAGTTAAGCGTGTAATATCCCAAGTAAAGAGCGAACTCTCAATTAGGATTTGTAATCACGTTTGCTTATTTTTCGTTTCAGGATGACGCAGCCATGGACCTGAGAGAGCATGCCCAATAGTGTCCCGATCTCTTTACCAGCGACACCCCCTTCGCCCTTACCCCATTCGCGGCTGGCACGCTCTCACAATCGTAGGTTCCACGTTCGCTTCCCGGGAGTCGACTCCGAGGAGCATCTCCTTAACTGTAAGTTCCTTCTTCCTTCTCATTGTTCTCTTTCCTGCTTGGGAGTTGGAAACTTCCTTTCTTCCATGTATCCTTAATATGTTTTATGAGGGTAGAAAACACTTCATGTTATTAACATCCGTTTAATTAAAGTTTTCGTAATGCACAGTATTTCTCATACAGAAGCCAAAATAATAAAACATGCACAATGAAAGAAAAGTAGTCGGAATAATAATATCATGTTTCTGAAAAACTTTCATTTGCGGTCTGCGAATATGCTTGCAGAACAAAGTTTTATTCATGTGCCACCCACGCATATTCTTCGTATGGTACTAGCTCATGCATCATTATAGTGATGCATAAAGTTAGTCGTAATGACGGACGGCACAACTGTAGGAGAGGCCAATCAGGGATATTGTGTTGAATACTCCTCAAGCAAGTGTTCCTAGAATTTCTAATTTCTACACACTAAGTCTTAATGACAGTTAGACGCTGAAGTGTGCTTAATGATACGTTTGTCAGTTGGAAAAGAAATCTCATTTTTAATCATCTGTGAAACCATGGATGCCCTTTTTAGCTAACAAATCGCCTTGTTCGTTACCATCCACACCACAGTGAACCGGGACCCATTATAGGGTAACGTGGATTTCTTTCCACTTGAGATGTTGCAAATAAATTCTGCATTGTAATCAGAAGATGTAGTTGCGGCAAAAAAAGCAAACCTGAATAGTTGCCTTCGAGTCAGACAGTGTGGCAACCTTACAGGTCAAGTTTTTAATCAGAAGTTTTGCAGTGGCCTTAATAATGGCAGTGGTCTCACCATCAAAAGCAGTTCCAAATGTCTGGTAGAAATATTAAATGCGAATACTTCACAAAATACTTCCGCACCGACATTTGGTGAATCCAGTGGCGTACCTAGGGTGGGGCAAGGCAGGACATCTGTCCCCGGGCGCAGCATCCAGGCGGCGCCAAATTGATGCTACAAAATTTTTTAATGAAATATTTTCCATTCTTGGCACGCAGAAGGGGCCCAAATTCTTCTGTTGTCCCCGGGCGCTGGAATTCTAGCAACGCCACTGGGTGAATCGATTGAACATTATCCATCGGTGTATACTCTCAGTCAGATTTCGGATATTGAAGTTCTAGAGTCTCCAATGTCGTAGGATGTTTCAGAAGGTTTCAGGATGATGTTTCAGAAGGAAGGCAACATTCAACATAGAAGAATCATCTATTTCAAGAATAACAGATTGTTGACACTAAGAAATCTTTTTCTTGAAAAACTAGCTGGAGAGTCATGGATATCTTTAAAGTCCTTCGACTTTTAACTGAATTATGTATTATTATCGTGATATTATGTCAAAAATATAATCTTAAAGTCAAGATCAAAGTTTTCAGTACTTGTATACAGATAATAGACGCCAAAGAGATGCTATGATGCGTTACGTTGCATAATCGATGCTGTGAGTAAAGTTACATAATAACATACTTCAGACGATCATTGGGGGATGCGCGTATATAATATTTTCCCCACCTGTAGAGAGCTCTTTCGTGTTAGAACAGATTATAATTACGCTAAGAAGGTTAGAATTCTAGCCCCCTGCTGTCCATCAGCCACATGTAGCTAATAATTAAATGCTTGAAATATGGTTACTGTGATACAAGACAATTTTAATATGAATTCGGATCTCAATTAGTTACATTGATTTAAAACACATTTTATTAGACACGTTTAAAATTTGAAGAAAATGAGAATGGGACTGTTAAACAAAAGTCATTTTATGATATTGAGTTTAGTACTGAGAAAATTCACATCGACGTTTGGAACAACTAATTAAATTTTATCTACTGTGTTTTTAAAATGAAGATAAAGATCTATTTTTACTGTTGGAAATCTTGATTTTGAATTCAGGTGTACTGCAAGCATTAAAAGTCGTGAAATATATATAGTGCCTATTTCTTTTAGGATTATAAAGGATCTTTTTTTTAAGTTAATAATTTTTGTATTAACTGCGGTTTTCATTGCTATCCTTCTTGGCATTATAATACTTATACTTACCTTTGTAACACGATACGAAATAAGAAAACATCTAGCTTATTTTCGCTCATTTGGAAATTTGACTCTACATATATTTATATCGTAATATTTCTATCGAAGGTCGTTGTTGTACAATACTTTCTTCACTTTATTTTTAGTATTAGATATTGTTTAACTTATCGAATGGAAACAGAATATTTTTATTGTTTTCGCATCATATTCAAAATGATTAAGAAGCGAAAAAATTGAGCTTAATATGAACATGGTAACGTATCGGAACGAGAGTATTTGTACAACAATATAAACTAATTTTAGTATAGGTTTCAGGAACAGTTTAGAAATAAATTGCTTCTTCTATGGTACTAGCTATTGTACTATCTTCTATGGTTCTATACTAAAATTGCTGAAGACCATTTTCATTAAAGTGAAGAAGTTTTTAGTTTCTTCTATGCAAACATGTGACATAGCACTTCCGATGGTAGTTTTAGTCTAATATATTAGCTCAGATTGTTAAATCTATATATGTTAGAGTATGAAGACTAAATTCTATCTCTAAAATATATGTGCCCAGAATTAATTAACTCTATTTCAAAACTACCTAGAGGTGAAACTAGTCATTGGAAAATCGTTAAATTTTGTGCGGACTTAATGAAGGGATGGGAATGTCTTTCAGTGACAAAAAAAAAGTTACGGATAGAGTCCCCAGAGGGTGTTTTACAAACCTGGAGTAAAAATATAAATTTTTGTCTATGTGTAGAGTCCAGTAGATAAACTTCTGTAATAAAACTGGAATTGCAGGAAACTACACAAGAGAAATGTTAAAGTACCCTTTATTAAATCTTTAAAAATTTACAATGCATCAGCTCGACGTTAACAAACTTCGCCTCTGCTTGGGCGGTTTACTAAAAATCAAGTAACGAAACTAAAATTTGAAGATATTAACAAACGATACAACAATACTACAGGGCTCAGCGAGATCCCGTAACTTAAACCTCCTTCGAAACTAGTGGCAGCAAATAAATGCAATTTAAGCCACTTGGACCAGCAATAAGCAAACGTATCTAAAATAGAGGTGGCGGCTAGAGCCTAACTCTCCCTTTCTCCTACCGAAACTCCGCTTTTAAATATTTTCTTCAAAGTAGAAATTTGCATTCCTTCACTCGCGCTGCAACATTTAAATATTATGGCACTGACAGTTAGGGGTATTAACTTGTTAGTTAAAATAAATATAAATCCCTACAATGTCATCAAGCAATTGTAATAAAACCTAGACTATTTGAGGAGATTTTGTTTTCAACGTGCTTTCGCTTCACAATAACGATAATTTTACAAGATCGTGCTAGTAAAATCGTTTCACCAAAACAATAATTCCGCAATAGCTGCTCTACGGAAATTTCGGGCTTTGAAGGGGATTCGAAGAGGTCCAATGAATGCTAAAACCCTTCGGAAAATGATAACGAAATTTAAAGAAACACGATAGTTTTCTGTTCGTCCTGGAAGAGTAAGAAAACCCATTTCTGCAGAAGCAATATAGGAGATTGTGCTTCCCATGATCTAGGGCATAGCTTCAAAATTTCAGGCTAGTACCAGTGTCCGGCCTATAGCAGAGGCAGTGGATAGACTACTTCAATTGTCCATGAGATCTTGCAAAATATCTTCCGATATTGTCCTTACGATCTTTCACTGGTGCAGCGGTTGCTTCCAGATGATTTTGATGTTCGACTCCGGTTCTCACTTATTTCTTGTTCGCTTTGAGGTCTATTCAGAATGGCCTTGGAATATCTTCTGGGCAGACCGCATTTTCATTTGAACGGTGCAGTGCACTCACAACAGCCGAATTTGGGACTAGAAAATCCGCGACTTATCTTAGAATTTCTTTTGTGTTCACGAGAAGTAACTAATAAGGTGTGAATTTTACGTATCATTTATTTTCGGCCCGTGCTTCTTCGAGGAGGTACGTTCCATAGGTTCAGTGACATATTTGATCACTGGGCAGCAATATCCATCGCTGTTCAGAACGAAATAGTTCCGGCTCTGAAAGCACGTCAGCGCCTTGCACGCACAATCTTTATATAAGATGGAGCTCTTCCACGCATTAATGTTGTTTTCTCTGAAGAATATTTTCATCCTTCATTAAGTCCGCCACCGAATTTCATAATTTTATGATGACGGATTTCGTTCAAATTGATATTGTTCTTTAATTATGGACACCCTGTATATGAAACTAAAGAATACAATTTTCATTTTTCTCTTATTTAATAGTAGATAGTTTTGCAATTATCGTTGAAATTTATTTGAATGTGTAAACGAATGAAGTTTTTCCTTCAAGTGCTTTTCTTTATTCCAAAACGTATTTTTGCTGGTTCCAGCTCTGAATGGTCTCTCTCTATTTATCTGTTTTATTTAAAAAACGAAATTTCATTAAATCTCTAGTTTGATTTATGTTATATAGTATAAAATCATAAGAAAAATGGGTAATTGCATTTTTCACTTCTCATTTTTCCCATAGCAAAAGATGATGTCATTTAATAAATAGACTGCATATTTTCAGATTACTCATGCGCTCTCGTTGCCGATATTTTGTTACAAGGACATCTATACATCACAGAAAACTACTTCGCCTTTTATTCGAATATTTTTGGAAGGAAAACACAGGTAAGAGTTTGATTTATCTTGATTCCTTTTGAAAGGCTTTTTTATTCTTTATTTCATCTTGATTATTTCTCTTCTTTCCTCTTTTACTTGAATGATTTTGCAACGACTTCGTCCGCCGTGAAAAGATATTGGCTGTTTCAATATTAGTGGTTGCTGTAGCTTGCTCTTTCGAGGCGTCCTGTTCATAGCCGCAAAGGATCCAAGATCGGCCTCGCACTTTCAGAGAAGTAATGAACTCATGGCACCAGCTGTCAAGAAACATTGTCATCAACAACTCGACATAGCAACCTTCTACAGCAATTAATTCTCTTTAGCGAATACAAATGGGGCCTTTAGGAAAACAAGACGGCAACAAAGACCACGCCTTAATTTCAATAGAAGCCTGTTATACTGCTTTTATCTTTCATTCGGAAACAGAAACACATGCTGACAAAATACGAATTTCTTTTTTTACACAGAACATGTTAAATCCTATTCAGCCTGGGATATCGTGATTCTCTTTTCATTTTGCCAGACATTTAGATTCATACAGTTCAATAATCCTAATCGAAAAGTTTTGATATCTGAAGGATTTTTTTTTTTTTTTTTTTTTTTTTTTTTTTTTTTTTACTAAATGATTTAATGAGTATACAATATTGGTAGAGAAAATTCCTGTTTCTATTTTAAAACTATACTCAGTTAAAGGGAACATAACGAAATAAAAAAAAATCTACAAATTAAGTATGCTTATTTAGTGAATACTTTAATTTGGATCTCGTACACGTGTTTTTACTCATGTGCCGTTAAGTCATGGATTCAAAATACATCTCAAATCTTAAAAATTGCATTGCAGGATTTAAAAAAGCTGAAACGAAAATTATTAACATTTCAGTAGTGCCGGATCCCCTCCCTAGGCTTTTTTTACCCCCCTCCCAAGTCAAATGCAATCTCTGCTGTTACTAAGTTCTAGCATCCAGGGTCTTCCTAAATTCTGAAATTTTTGTCACCCCTAAATTCTGCCTCGCTTTGTGCGGCCGCGCCATCTGCATCGGATCTGGCATCAGTCCTGAATTATATTGAGAATACATAATGGGAAGTAGTTAGTATGACTAGTAAATTTTTCAAAAGGTATATTAAGTTTTCTAAGTCAAAAATTTTTAGCATTAAATGTTTCTAATATTCCGATTATATTTTGATTTTTAAGAGTTAAATACATCTTTTGTATCACGTCTAAATGTCACTTCATCATTCATGGTTCAGTAAAGAAGCGTATTTAACCTGTCATTTTAGAAATGATTATGAATATTGTCAAAAGTTCTTTGCTGTCTGCTAATACGTAAAAAGGAGACTGATTATTTTGAATCTTCGTTCCTCTTCCAATAGATTCTACTTCCAGTGAGTGACGTCATCAAAGTGACAAAGGAGAGAACAGCAAAAATCATTCCAAACGCTGTGGGTCTATACACAGTTGAAGGAAAGGTAAATATGTTATCTCTGACAAACAAGAAAAGAGCTCTATGCTCAGTTAAATTATTCGTTAGTTTTTACGGACTTTAAATTTGTAAACAGTTATAAATACCATATTTTACTCGCGTATTTTTCCCTTTTCCTACCAATTTTACCACTTAAAGCCTAGAAAGGAGAATACGTAAAGAGATGACTTAAATAATAAACACGGCATTAAAAAAACTAAAACTACACATAAAGACACATTAATATTATTTAACTACATATTTCAATGGAATCATTGCTTTCAATAATATTCTGTTTACATACGTCAAATAATTTCCTATTTGATACATACATTTTACATTAGTACCATCAATCAGAAGTTTCTAAATCAAATGCTGAAAACACTAGGGAAGAATATGTGAGTAAATGTGCTAATGGAGTGGTATTTTAAATACTAGACACATTTTCCTATTAAAAATGTCTTTGTAACACAACTATTTGGATGTAACCAAACTATTTTACAACTAAACAACTTACAGTCAGTCGACCTCCAGCTGCGATGAGAGCAAGTTCTCCAATATTATATCTCCGTGACTCGAAAGTTAATTCTAAATGTTTGATGTTCCTGTTTGGTTATGTTCTGCTTCTATGTATATTTTCTTTGCAACTGTTTCTGTGCTCTGTTAATAAATACTTTTAGAGCTAACCGGCGTTTGTGTTTATGGAGGAATGGTTACATCTTTATATTGTAAGTGGAAATGAAGTTTATAACTTTAAAAACTTGAGAAAAGTGAAATTAAAATTGCAGATAATATAATTTTGGCACCTTCATATCTAAAACGCGTTTAGTGTACACGTGTACATAAATTCATGTAATGAGTTTAAAAATTAACGAGACGGCAAAATTTGCAGAACTTGTGTAATGTAAAAATATTCATTAATAATTTCAGGATTGTCTGAATTATTCATAACGATATGCAATATATATACTATGTAGAAAGTATTAGGCAAATTTCAAGTATTCCGTTCAGGTTGCTGGTATTTAGACAAGAGTTGAATTTAAAACGAAGTACAGTTAGAGTGAAAATGTATCTCTTATTATTCCGAAACGAAGGAATTGTACTTTAAAGAACTTGTAATTTATAAATGATATTTAAATCCAGTCGAAATTTTAATGGCGAAGAACAATTAATGTCAGTGTGAAAATCCTTTTCCTCACTGCTTCAAGATGGTTAAAGTGGCTTAACTGAGAACTATGTAGTCAAGATGGGCTAAAACGCGCCTTTAAGGAGCGTCAGATTGGAAGCATTCGCTCACTGAAGTGAATCAGTTCTTTTTAACAATTCGCCTTGATGAATGCGTTCGGAACAGGCATGGATCAAGGGCGGTGACCAAAGATTGGGGGAAAAGCAGAAAGAATTGAAAAAGGAGTGGGATCGCTGGAATCAACTCAACCAAACATCTCATTCCATGGACAGATTTCTAAAATTCAGGAATAAAAAAATGCTAAAAGTTAAAAGATAGTAAAAACTAAACTCATTTTTGTTAAAGATTACATTATTTTATTACTATAATTAATATTTTGTTGCTACTACAAAACACAGCGTAAAAATAGTTTTTAGACTGGATGCAGATCCCAAAGAACAGGAAATTGTTCTGCTGACAATAGCAGTAATTTTCCTTTTTATTTATTTATTTATTTATTATTTATTTATTTTTTTACCTAATTTGACAAAATAGTACCAAATATCGTTCGAAGTTTCTTCTACTCAGTAAGATCCACATTTTGTTCTACAACCTTGAAAAAATACATTTCATGGAAAAATTTATGTTTATAAATATATGCTAATTCTAAAGAAGATTAAAGAGAAATTTACAGCTCTTGTTACAAGACGTGAGTAAAATAAGTAAATTAATTAAAATATAATATATTACTTTACATAAATCTTACAGTAATATTCTATAAAAAGGTAATACCTAATATACATAGCTATACTATGACACAGTATTCAAAGAATCGAAATGAAACTCAAACAGCTCAGAAGCGAAAAGAACGAATAGTCGAGACTGCAGGAGCCAGATTTGAAAGAGCGAACAATGAAGACTCATTCGGACTCAAATCCTCAACTAGTGCAGAAGCGACGAAAAGTGCGAATATTCACGACTCTGAAGGACCCAAATCTGCGATTAGTGTCGGAGTGTTGACAGCTGGGAATCTGAGGAAATAGTTTTATAATCTACGTTCTTTAAACAGATACTCGCGCTGCCAGGAAAAATTTTGCAAATAGGTGTGATCAGTTTCTTTGAGATGCGTTGGTTTATTTAATATTTTGTTTTTTAAATGCTAGATGGAACACAAACAACCCCACACATATATATAAACACAATACGTACTATAAACACATAAAAAATAAGTCCGTTTAAATAGGTCCGTCCGGTCCATAAAAAATAGAAACGTTACCGGTAAATAATAAAGAAAAGACTGCTAGTCTTTACATTAACAGGGATCAAATTTTTGGCACGCTTTTCAACAACAGCTCTTGATGAAGTGTCAAAAAACTGCCGTTCCGTTTTCGCCGGAGCGCTGATCATTCGTTCAGTAAAATGAATCAGTTTCGAAGCAGATCATCCATTTCTACAATGTAGAGCTCATTTTGGTTGACGTATTTTGTAGAATCGTGGTATTATTTCATCCGGAAAAGAAAACTGCAATAAGCAAATATTAAATCCAAATTTCGACCATTAGGTGTGTAGAGACATTAGGTTATTTCGAAGCAGGAGAGATGAAAAAGAAGCAACGCCTTCGCCGGAACTCGAACGGACCTCTCGATTTCGCGTCGAGCGTGCTGACCATTACACCACGAAGGCATGCTAAGAAGGCGGGAGAAATATCTTATATACTCCCCTTTTTAAAGGGCGACTGGGGATTAGGGGATCCAATTGCCAAATCCTGAGAGAATCATCATCCACCACCTTTTTTAGTTCGGGCACCACTGTAGAGACATTAGGTTATATGGAAGCAGGAAAGATGAAGAATGAGCAACGCCTTCTCCTGGAGTCAAATCACGGACCTCTCGAATGCGCGTCGAGCGTGCTGGCCATTACACCACAAAGGCATGCTAATAAGGGCGAAATACCTATAGGGGAAACATTTTTGTTTCTTTTTTCCAGTATGGAAAAGACGTTGTACAAGTTAAGAACATTTTTTTGAAATGCCACTATTCAACGCCTTTAAAACGCCTTGATCATGCCTTTAAAAAAAAAGTTCGAGCTTTACTGGTCTAGTTGTTTTATCAGAGCTGCAGTAATATTTAGGTGCACTGCGAGAATATTCGACGTTTGAAAGGCTTACGAAAAAGGCGTATATGTTGAAGAAGTGTTTGAAAAAGATGATTAGAGAATATGAAGAGACTGAGCAGCTTGGTGCGCTAGAAAGATGATGCAAAGGTTTCAAATGAAACTATGGAAGGAGTCGCTGTTGCTGTAGTTGACAGATCGTCCTGTGCCCGATATTCTCTGTTAAGTACTCGAGTGGTGTCACGTGGTTTGTCTATCCCTTGGGTCATCGTATTAAAAGTTTTACGATCCATTTTAAAGTGATATCCATACAAGATCTAAAAGCTGCACCGCAAAGACTCGCATCGACGAACAGATTTTATTTGCGGATTTTTGGCGAGAGTAATCAGTAATAATGTATGGTCTTGGAACATTTTGGGGTCAGACGAGACACATTTTCTCCCGACAGAGCAGTGTATGTTCAGAAATGTCGCATAATGTTCCCAATTAGCTGTGGATTCTGATTATGTGACTCTATCGTGTGATTTTACAGCTGACGTCATTCTTGGCCATGTTTTCTTCGAATAGTGTAATCTTGAAGGCCCTAAAAGGTGCACCAACGCAAACTGTCTGTTACTATGAACTTCTGCAGCGGCAAGTAATTCTTGTTTTACAAAAACGAAAATGTCTATAGACTGCTGTAATCATGCAAGATGATGCCCATATTGGTCGATAATGGCGGAATTGTTTCGTGCTCAGCTTGGAGATTACCTGGTAATTTCGAAACGTTTTTCAATTGCTTGGCCTTCTTTTTCTCCGGAATTGAATCTCTATGATTTCTTCCTGATAATTCTGAAAAGATCATGTTTATAGAAGAAGCACGCGGACTCTGCTTGAATTGAGAGCAAGCATATAACGCTCTGTGTTGCTCCAATTTCATAAGAAACATTTCGCGCTACTGTAGAGCATGCTATAACACACTCTGAACACATGATTGACGCAGATGGAATGAACATTGTACAATTGGTGTCATATTAAATAAAGTTCTATGATTACAGTTCATGTGTATTCCTCTTTATGCACCTAGTATCGAAATTTCAACTATTACTTTTAACTGCAATTTTTTAATCCTCTTGGCCCATAGAGAAGTATATCAACTTTCGACGAAATTATGAAGTTTCAACAAAATGCGGTAATCAAAACGCGCTCCGCATAAATTTGAGTAGAATCACTTTAATTATATCATCTGATATCATTCATTCCTAGATATCTAACAGCGCATATCTTAGAAGTTTATACTTTTTGTATATTGAACCGTTTGTTCTGAAGAGGGACATGTAAAACTTACGTATTCCATTTTTTATAGGAAAAATGCTCATAAACAGCAGTTCCTTACGAACTTATTCTTTACGCCGCTTGTTATATTTTGGAAATCAGAAGTTTAAGTTAACCTTCAGTAGTAATGACGTTGGAATCGGTGTTTATGAAAGCCTTTTCTTCATTTGCTAATATAAAATCCAACATTGAACTATTTTGCAGTGAATAAAAGTAGTAGGATTACTGTAATTAAATAGGGTTTAATTACTATATGATGCTTAAAACATATTCCTCCTTTTCTGATAGAAATATTCGGCAAACAAAATAGTAAATTGAGATTACAGTCAACGCCCGATTAACTGGGGATGGGTTAATCGGGTTTTATCTAAAAAAAAAGTTAAGTTTATTTAATAATGAAAAATATGGACCAAAAG